GGAAACGAGGTTGTCGAAAAAGGATTTTTTTCAAGCTAGAAACTGCCTTTGACCTTTGAACGATCGTTTCCCACGACTGGATTTCCCTGCTCGTATCGTTTTAAACAATGAAGAATTAACGATCGGTTAATCGGCGCGGTTCCCTCAGTGTTCAAAGTCGCGATGCTCATTGTCCTTTCGTGTTCACAGCCGTGAATCCTGTTCTCTACCAGTACAAGTAATAAGTTCTTGTCCAATTTATACGTGAAGACGTTATATAGGAATAAAAACTTTTACATCAAAAAATATCTCCTTAAATAGATTATATTTTATTTATCCGCGGTCTAAATTATATTGCAAACTTTTTTTTAAACAAGCCCTCGAACAAAATCTGGATTTTTAATAATAAACTATACATATTGTTACTATACAGAATGTTAATATGGAATATATTTGGAAGATTTATAAAATATGTGAATGTATACAAAATATATGAAAATGTTAATTCAGGCTTATTCAGTGCGAGCGATTTAAGTTTCGCGTTAGTTGAAGCGAGACAGAGATAGAGATGGCGCTGCGGTGGAGGCGCAACTGTCTCGCTCTATCTCCCTCTCGCTTCATCATCGAAAACTTCAACTTGCTAATAATTTAATAAACAAAAGCCTCGATAAACATTTTGATTTTTGTACTTTTTTATGTTTGATGCACAATATCCACTCTCCAAAGTGGAAATATACGAATATATCAGCATCCCTTGTGCATCAGGATAAACAAAATTAATTGTTCTGTTACCTAATACTCCCGAAGATCTGTTTAAAATACGACGTTACGTTGCTCATCGCTCGATTAATTGTACAAAATTATGTACGAACGCGTTTTTCTTTTTTCCTTTTTTTTTTTCATTCATTCAACAAAATCTTGACACGCCCCCTTTATTATATCGTTCAATCAACAATTAACCATCGCAGTTGCCGCGATTTAATTTCGAGCATAAACGAGGCAATAAAAGCGAGCAAATCAGACAAGAACTTACCACTCATCCTGGTCATCCTATCTCCCTCTATCCATCGTTTGAATATTCCCGCTTTTCTTCCTACTCCCCTCCTCCGCTCACGCCATTGTGACGAGAGATCTATGCCAGAAACGAGGCTGTCTTCGTTCGTACATATCGAGTTTTATCTCCGCTCGTAAACTTCGATTTCCAATTAACGATGTGCCGCTCACGATCCAAGGACGAGAGCCACGGTGTGAATTTCTTCTTCGCAATTCATGGGATGGGAACAGATAGATAGATAGACGTCGCGATTGGTATTACAGAAATCGACGTGGAATTCATTTCTTTTTTCCTTCTCTTATTTCTTTTTTTTTTTTCATTTTTTTCTCGTTTTTTTCAGAACGGGATCTAATTCAATTTCTTTCGCTGTTTCTTCGCGAGGAACACCTGTGAGCGGATTGTTGCTGGGAATGATCGATGAGGATCGAAAATAAAATGGAAAATCGGTGTTGGAGATTTGACCCTTTCGTTCATGGCAATGTCGATTGGAGACGTATTTGTCTGATTACAATTTTGGTGAGATCGATTTTAAAGTACAGGGAATCGTAATTTTATCTCGTTTATTTAGATTTCTTTTTTTTCAACAAATAATAGAGGTATTTAATATTGGAACATTGCGGTTACGTAATACTCTCGTGACTGTTTGGTAACTGTTTTTCGTTCGATGAAATTTTTACGGCCTAATTACGGCCGAGACACGGACTCCTAGAAACCATGTATCTGATCGGTCGGAGATAAACAACATCGTGCATGCTAAATCTGGGATTGCGATTCTTTTCGATTCATGAGTTTCATTTGTAATGGGGAAAGATCGATTGCTCGAACGTGAGATTGATATTAAAAGAAAGATAATACAAGTATTTCGGAGGATGGGGAGAATATACGTATAAATATTTATTAGGTATATAATTTATTCTTGGACAGTTTTATGTTATGTATATGAGGATAAGAGAAGTATATCAAACTTTGAAAAAAAAAAATTGAATCAACGATGACCCAATCACCTTCGTTTTCAAAAAATCGATTTCCTAAAACGAATATCTCACGAAAGTAAAAACTCGTCAAGAATGGGTAGGAAGATCGGGCAAAGCGTAACAGCCGCGGGAAAAAAGGATAGCATCGGCGAAACGAGCGTTGCATCGCGGAGGTCAGAGAGTTTTAGAGAGAATCCACGGTTGTTACGAGTACCGTCCAGGTAATTACACGTTCGCGATATTGCGTTACGTGCATGCATTACGCACATACTACGCGAGAAAAACGATATGTCCTGCGGCGGACGATAAATTCCGCTCCACGCCGTGTGATTTTATCGTTTCTCATCACTCGATGGAGCAACGATAATTCAACAGATTTTAAGGATATTTATGTAATCGAGTTTTTATTGGGTAATTGATAATGGTAAAAGAATCACGGCCATCTTTTTCACGATACCATTTCTAATTTATGTAAGAAGTATTATTTATTTAATTTTCTAAAAACAATTGATTATTGAAAAATTAATTGAAATATATTTTTTAATGTTATCGGTTTGGTTCGAAAGATTTCGAACGTGAAAAAATTCAGTAGGTATTCAGGAGACGTTAAAATATTCGTGGAATCTTCTGAGGCTCGATTATTAGGTTATAGTTATGAGCAATTTAAATTTCTGTTGGATGAACAGAGATGGGAATAGAGATGGCGCTGCGATGAAGGTAGAGCTGTCTCGCTCCATCTCCAGTCTCAAAATTGTCGTAAACTACCTTACATATGCTCACGGAATTAAAGTAATTGCAAATGTTTCGAAAATTGACGCTACACGAAACTATTCTCGTTTTACAATTATTCCAGTTTCGTTCCTTTTTCGCAATCAGGTTAATAAGATACTTTCATAACGTTACACGAAACTGAACCGTAAAAGATTTCTTACAATTCGAAAAATTTTCATCAAACTTTTTATCTATAGTTGTAACAAGAATCTATCTATGAACGAATTTTCAACATCCTCGCTTCCTGGATAAATCTAAAAAAAATCTCTTTGGTAAGATCTGAAAATTCGTTTGAAGGGATTATTTTGGACAGATTTGTATTGATACGATTTCGCGAAGATTGTTGCGAAATCTAGTTAATTTTCACAAAATTTACCTATCATTTTTACAATTTAACATCACGCTCAACGATTACTCCGAGTTTTACGAACTCTTACGAAGGTAGAGAAAAACGGTGATTTTTAGAAAATTTTACCACGCAGTTTACGATTGTTTCTGTTACGCAAACGATATTGTAGCAGGAATTTCATGAA